GATTTTGATGATAGATTTGGTTCAGTTTTGGTTGTTTTTCAGAACTGCAGAAGCCTCTTAGATAAGAAGTGAAACGACTTTAAAAACCTGAAAGAGAAGTTGTTGTTTTGTTGTTTTTTTTTTTTAAGCTAAAGCTCCTGAATGACTGAGAATCTACAGATCAGACTGTCGGTCACACAGGATTAGTTGGAAAGTTGAAAATCCAACGACAGTTTTCACAGTTTGTGTGTCTGATGAATCGTGTCTTTTTTTTTTTAAAAAGACGATAACATGCTGTTCAAACCCGCTGGCAGGTTTTGGGGTTTACAGGGTTTTAAATATTGATATATATAATATTGAATATATGGATGAAACGTGTTTTTCTCTCTTAACTGAGTTGTTGAGTAAATTCATCAGTCCTCTGTAGCCGGAGTCAGAGCACATACATCAAACCTGATGACTAATGAATGTTGTCATTGTTGATTATTCTGTCAGCTGTTTGGGTTTTTGTCCTCCACTGTGCAGCTTTGAGATGATTTCTGAGGTTTTCCTGTTAGTGCTTTTTTCCCCCTCAACTTGATGTCTTATTTGCACAGAAAAAAATCTGTTTAGTAGTTTAAACATCTCAGGATTTTGGTCGAGCCATTTGTCATCTTGTTCTGTCATTTAACGATCAGCCTTCAGCAGACTCGATCAGTCTGAATGGCGGCGTTCCCTCTGCAGCAGAATCCCTGAAGCCTCCTGCTTTTTCATTTCGTCCCAGGACATCCACTCGCAGGGAGAAGTGATCGCCTGTCTGGAGAAGGCGTTGGTGGAGGAGGTGGAGCAGCAGGATCGTGCCCGTCCGATCAAAGAGGAGTGCCAGAAAGCGATCCTGCGTGTGGCCGAGCTGTCGTCGGATGACTTCCACCTCGACAGACATCTTTACTTCTCCTGCAGAGAAGACCGCGAGAGATTCTGCCAGAACGTAAGCAGACTTGCTTCATACAGACACAAACAACAGTTAGTGCACTTTGAATGGAATGAAATGGAATGAAGTTAGAAGCGCCTGCATACTCAACAATCCTCTGTCATTATTATAAAGTGACAGAGTTTTCATTGAACTTGGCAGCAGTTTGAGAAATTCTTGCAAAAAAAACTTCTATCTTGGCACCAACTCATCTGCTGCTCTGCTGATTAGTCAACTCTCAGCTAAATTTCGTGAACAGATGTTCTCAAGATTTTTGAGATATTGGAACAGGAACCAAATCTTGGCTTGTTTTTAAATGCAGCAAAAAATATGTTTCCTTTAGTGTCTTTGTTACTGTGAGTCTAAGCAGGAGCGCTTCTAATTCTGTAGCTTTCTTTAAAAGATAACAAAAAGTAGGATTTAATTTAGAAAATAAATCCACACATTTGTGTTTTGGAGGAAAATAAGTGCTGAAATAGGATTACAGATTAGTGTGATGCTCTTTTTTATATTCATTTTGAATTTACAATAATTACAATAACAATTAATTTATTTTCCTGCAATTGCTCAAAATACACAGTTTCTGAGTCAAGCTGTTAATAAATAATATTAATTAAGTTAATAATAAAGTATTTTTCATTTTATTTAACTAGTTAGCAAGCTAGGCTCCAGCCCCCCCGCGACCCTCGTGAGGATTAAGCGGTGTATAGATAATGGATGGATAGTTAGCAAGCTGTTAAAACAGTCTAAATAAAGAGCTGACAGATAAATCATCAAACTCCTGCTGTAAGCTTGACTTAATCTCCTGAAGAAACCTGCAGGCAGATAATTTCACAGTCGTCACGATTAGTGTGAATTCTTTATGAAACAAACAACAAAAAGGGAAACAAACATGCAACATACATCTTTAACCCACATCTGCCTCTTTTCTTCTTTTCCACAGACTCAGGCAGGAGAAGGAAAAGTCTACAAGTGTCTTTTCAATCACAAGTTTGAAGAGGCCATGTCTGAAAAGGTACAAACTGCAGCCCATCAGGCGTGTTTAGGAGGGCCGGAGGATTCTTACTCACTAACTTTGTCGCTAACGCTCCTTCTTTCTCTCCTCCGAAGTGCCGTGACGCTCTGACCACCCGTCAGAAGCTCATCTCTCAGGACTATAGAGTCAGTTACTCTCTGGCTAAAGCCTGCAAGCTGGACCTGAGGAAGCAGCGCTGCAGCCTCGACACCAACCTGCCTCGAGCCCGCGAGGCCCGACTGTCGTATCTGCTGCTGTGCCTGGAGGC